TCATTTGTGCCAAAATGAGTAAGCTTACTTTAGCTTATATATGCATACAGTATATATTTGCAGGCAGTATTTGCTTATTTTATTTGCAGGCAGTATTTGCTTATTTTATTTATTTCAGTCTTCCTGCTTTTTATAACCGTAGAAACGCTTCTACTTGCACTTTCCAGCAGATCTNATTATCTGCTTTTATAATTGTCTTCCGTGTGCTTTGGCACCTTACAAGCTAAAGACGAGGGAACACAAGCTTTTCATTTGTGCCAAAATGAGTAAGCTTACTTTAGCTTATATATGCATACAGTATATATTTGCAGGCAGTATTTGCTTATTTTATTTATTTCAGTCTTCCTGCTTTTTATAACCGTAGAAACGCTTCTACTTGCACTTTCCAGCAGATCTGTTTACATGCAGCTTAGCTTTACTGTTCTGATGAATGCTATCCAAGCCTTTTATTGGGGTCAAAAAAGTCATCAATTCATCCAATAAGGTGTCTATTTACCCATTTATCAGAATACTGATAAATGAAGGAGGAAATTGGGATTTCTTCTAAGATGAATAAACATTTGCTAGCTTTTCACGCCAATTGACAAAGTTAAAAAATGGTTCTAATGATGATGCTAATGTTTGATATTCAGGGGGTTACCGTGCAGTGTAGTGCTGTTCATCCTTCAGAGCATTTATTTATGTGTATCCGTTTACAAGAAACTCAAATTGCAGATATAATCAGTAGCGTGTTTTCTTTTTGCACTCGAGCTGTAAGATAAACCAATGAGGAATGTATGCTTAAATGCTTTAAGTCAGGTTTTTAATGAGAGAATTCAGGTTTGTAGGATTTGTGTTGTACAAAGAGTTGAAGATGTGATTTCTTTGTCTCCACCTCCAAGTTAGTCTTTCGGCAAAATGAGAGAAAAATATGCCGGGAAATGCGTCTTGTTTGGAGAATTAATCTGTCATGAACGTACTTTTAAATTCCTTTTTTTAGCCCTGCTGACAGTCAGAATGCCAAATATATTTAGTTTACTAACATATCTAAGAAAGAAACAGCAAATTCTCACATTGGACTCACTGAAATAATCTGAAATGTTGCGTTATAGCTTAAAATATGACTAACATAATTCATATACTATCAAAATCAGTTGCTGAATAACTCTCTCAATCAATCTAATGATAAATGGAATATTTATCCAGCTTTAATATCACCCCCGCTTTCTAGAGCTTCCTAAAGAAAGTGTTAGTGTGTGATGCTGTCTCTATATATTATTATACAGTTGGCGATAAAGCCAAGCTCTTATTTCCCAGCTACTACAGTTTCAACACCAACACTGTTTAACACTCATATTTCAGATATAATGTGAACATATACAATGTTATTTTTTAGTACAGGTACGATTTTGACTGAAGAAATGGGCTCAAATGGCAATGAAGGGAATAAGAAGGATCAGAAAACGTGTCGAGCACTCCTTAACAAAACCCTCTGAAGAAACAAAGAGGGTTCAACTTGCTCTACACATTATACAAATCAATATCTGCCACGAGCTCTCATTAACATCGACCCAGTAAGGACATGGATCAGGACATAAATATCCTCCTGTGGGGGTTCACCTCGTGACCCCTACTCACTCCATCCCTTTCTCTCTAAGTGCTGAGGGTGAATCACTCCGTGTGCTCCAACCTGAAATGATGAGCAAGACGTTCTGGAGTACTTTTTTTTTAACTCTGAGACAGATGTTATATATTGAGCTTATATTTTAACAAACAAAAGTAATATATATAAATGCATCTAATATACAGATATCTAATTAATGTATCACTGAGCATCAGGGATGTGAAGGAACTGGAGTTGTTTTATATATGCTTTAAATTAGCTTTAAAATGAAGTACTTCCCTATACATCATTGTTTAATAATAATAACACTAAAGTGCTTACTAAAAAGACGATATTAACCTTTTTCTTTCATTGTTTTTTAAATTATGATTCCAGATGTGTCAGAGAATATATTTGTATGGCTGTACATAAATTGTCTTTATGTATTGCCTTCAACATTTGCTATATATTGTCCTTATTCCTTGCAGAGATTATATATAAATATGTATATATAAATCTATACAGTGTGATTAATATGCTTCTGCCATGTCACTTTATACCGCAGCTAAATATGTTATATGCAGATTTATATGCTATGTTTATCGTGTGTTTAATTACTTCTCAACTTGCACTTTAAACATCTGAACCCTCCTGTCTAATACTCAGCTTATATGGTACTCGTTAATTGTGATAATTAACATGTTATTTGAAGAAAAAAAATGTATTTACTCGTATAATAATGACCAACCAATATGTGTAATTATTTTAAATGGAAGTTATTGTTAGGTTTTCCATCAAAATTCCAATTTTTGTCCAAACAAATGTGTATTTTAGCTTAAGCTAAGAGATCTCCTTGCTACACAAGGGTTGAGGAAAGGTTGTTCTGGAATATTTTTTAATTGTTAAGTGAATGTGAAAATGATTCAGACAGATTGAAAAAAGAAAAAAAACGAATTGCTGTTAAACATGTGGCGGTGCTTCTCCTCTGTCATCAGCTACATGTCAAAAGGCTCTAGCCTTTGTCTCCATGTTGCTCTACATGTACCACAACACCAACAAACCCTGAAGTCAGTGTGTACCTGAACGCCACACCCCTGCTGTAATAAACCGTTTCTGCGTGAACCTGCAGAATATAACCACTCTGAGGATATCTTGTGATCTTTAAATTGATTTATTTATACATTTTTAACATGACCTAAAAATATGTTTCCTTAACCTTCTTTAACTCTGCTTTCTCTTAACTCTTCTATGTTTGTCTCTGTGTGTGTGTGAATGGTGTTTGTTCACTTTGAAGCACTTTTGTTACTTAATACTTCACCACCAAAATAATCATTATTATTAGTATATATATTTATTATATGAATTACTCCCACCTCGTCATACTGAATCTGAACAGTTATTATGAATGAAAGTAAATGGGTGTCACGTTTACAAAAGCAACATTTCGTAAAGACATCCCTTTTTCTTTCATGAACAAAGTGCATTTATTTGAGAGATTTGAGCATACAAATAAATGAGACTTGGGTTATATTTCAGGATTTATAAATGGATACATTTTTTTTTTTTAACGAACAAAGTTTAACTTCAATTCATTTAGATTGTTCTCACTTTTTTTTATTATTATTCTTTCACCCTGGCATGCCAGAGAAACATCTTCAGTAATTGAATGTAACAGTGTGAGGAACTGACATACAAGCGGCCATTTTGTGGGTGAACTATTCCTTTTATCTAGACACTCATTGATTGTTGATAATCAGAGAACCCTGCAGCAAAGTAAGTATCATTTCACAGTTTTTCATATCATTTGTATTTATGATTTTCCCCTCACTCATTGTGTCTCCTCAGCGAGGGCTGCCGGCGGGAAAACACGGTGAAGAACGTTGGGTGTCGTAAGTACGCCTTTAACTCGCTGCAACTCAAAGCCTTCCCCAAACACTACCGACCTCCTGACGGCACCTTCGGGAAAGTGGAGACCTGAACTCACCAAAGGGAATCGGCATTATTACGGGACAATATGGCTGCTGTGTTTTGGGAAGATCAGACTGAAGGTACCGTGTTCATGTCACCTGGTTACTGTCTCACACCTTTTTATCAACAGTAACTATATTTCTACCACCGTACTATATGAACTGTTTTGAAGTACTGTATTAGATGCCGTATTATGCATAACACGCTGAATACAAGAATCTGGTAGCAGAAGGTTTTTATTTCTTGTTATTATAAATATGTAAATGAACAGCACTGCCTCAGCCCTGATCGAGCACTGATATAATGGAGCATTTATATGTATGCTACACACTGTAAATCAACAGATAAATCATTACTATCACACATGGCTGAATCCACTTGTATAAAATAACGGTTTTCCCTTATCCAGCCACAGATTTAGACACATTTGTTGTTTTTTGTACGCTTCTCATTGCCTGCCAATGTGCTACCATGCAATTTGATATTTAGACCCTGTTGTAAATCCACAGGAAATGTATCTACGTATAAAGTGAATAACAGAAGATTGATATTAAGAATAATGTAGAAAAAATCCCTTAAACAAGGCTTAAGCTAAAATATATAATACTAGTAAAGTATTGGAGAAATTCAGAGTATCGTCATGGAGTTGGCAGCCTTCATATTTGGCTTCTATGCCATTTGAGTTTGCTTTTATTATGAAAAGGACAACCTGTTATCTTAACAAGAAATACAAAAAAGTTGAATTATTTTACAACATTTTCTCAATTGAGGACAAAGGGGAACATTTGTTTTGCACTTTTACGCTTATTTGTAGTCATTTTGATCACTTTTGGAGTATTTATTCCACATTTTTAGTTGCATTGCCGGTTATTTACCACACGAGGGCGCCCGTGCTCTTCCCTTCCCTCACTAGTGAATTATCTGTGAAGGAAATGATTCTAATGTACCGTGAACCACACTGTTTGATGGCAATCCTCCTGCAGATCACTCGTCAAAACATGTATTTCTGTATTTACTTGTATTTTCATCATTCAAACATACTGTGCTGTATTTGGGGATTTTATTTCATATTAAAAACTTCTCAAGACATCTGTGAAGGTTTGAATGTTGCTGAAATAAATATAAAATGGATTGTTTCTCTGTCTCTAGAGGGTTTTTTCAAATGAATATGACATTGTTATATATTAATTAATTTAACAGATTTCAGCTGACTGTATTTCTATGGGATCTGAACGATTTTTTAAATGAATTTAAAATAAATAATTCTACTTACCGGCAGAAAAGTTGCAATGTTTAGGGGAAATAAAATATGTTTTAAATCGATACTAATAACTAATTGCTTTACTTGGCAACAATTTATTTTCACTTTCATGTTTTGAATCAATATGCAAATGAAAATGTATTGTCATGAAACGTTTTTAAATCCCTAATCAAGCCTCCAACTAAAGAACGTTTTGAGATCACTTTGAAAAATAAACCATTCATCCAAAACTCCAACAGGGCGGTGTCACTTCACCCAAATTAAAGTTTAACTACAATGTCCTGCATCAATTTCAAATGGGATCTGTTAGCCTTAAAAAAAAAGTATTTCTAATGATTAATAATAAAACCTAATCGATAGTTTTAAACGTAAAAGTGTCAAACAAGAACATTAAGGCAAGTAAAGTTACCCTGAGGTGCTCTACCCTCACTGCCCCCCTTCTGTATAATGCCATGTATTCATTCATTTATTTCCTTCCATCAGGATCCTGGAGCTATCGCTGCACACGGTTCAAAACGTATTGACATTAGCATGTTTGTGTATTCTATTAGACGACAGTATCAGCTTGATTTACCAGGTGTAAGTAAAAATACAAGGAATATGACTTCTTCTGGTTCCTCTAGGGCTATTATGTAACAAGAGTGTGAAAGAAGAACATTAATTGTCTTAAAGTCACACTGTTTTATTTGTATTTATCCTGATGTGTAGTAGGATTGTTAGAGTAACTGTATATATTTAACTTGACACTACTTTGTAAATGTTTGTAAGAAGAACCTTGTGCCAGACTTAGTTTCCCTACACGCCAAAGCAATGTCGAGCCAAAGCCGATCGTAGCGCAGGAGGACGAGTTGATGCATGGCGCCGTTTGCGTAAGTATGAGAAACAACATAACATTAAATAACTACCTACATCAATACATACAAATCTTTACAAGCCATGACAGCCAAACAAACTACTCAGTCGCTACAATTTCACAAAAGCAGTAAGTAAGCCAGAAGCTGTTTTTCTTAATTTCATAGCATTTGCGAGCTAAGCTAACAAGCTAACAACAGGAAAGCTAACAAGACTTCAGCTCCTTTTTCAGAAAATATACTTATTAACCGTTTTGAAGACCAAAAAAGTTGAACAAATGTATATCATTGTTATCAAGCTCCATTTATTCTACAACTTTATGTAACATTTACCAACGTTGTCCACACTTAAGTTGGGCGCAGGAATTGGCCTTCCTAAAACAGTTCTTCCAATAAAGTCTGAAATGTCTTTCCTGTAATTTGGAATCAAGACGCCTAACCAAACCGTACTGGAGACATGTAAAAAATATGTCATGTGTATTATTGCTACACAAACATTATATTGCAGTTTTAGTGTCGCCAACTCCGTTTATAACATGCAAAAAGACTGCAAAATGCGTCTATGATTATCTTTCGTATTTTCGATCTCTCTCCCGTCTGTGTGCGAAGGGGCGGTGCAGTTTACACATACGCACTGGATGACTTATACCAACCATGTGATGAAGAATCCAAGCCCTTGCTCACTACTGTAAGCAGCGGAGCTCGGCAAAAGGACCACGCCCAAAGAATGGGGAGTGGCGACATTAACCCGATAAAAACTGGAGAATGTGCCAGAAGACGCCCACGACGCCGCGGCGCAGATGATCTCCAGGGGCACCACCTTCAGGGCAGCCCAAGATGTTGAGATGCTCCTTGTAGAGTGGCATCTCAGCCCTGATGGCAGGGGGCGGCTACTAGCCCCGTAGGCATGTGAGATGGTATCGACAACCCAGTGGGGCAGCTGCTGGTTAGAGGGCACAGCCTCCTTTAGTGCCGCCATGGCAAACGAAGAGCTGCTCTGACTGCCGTATACAGGCAGTAGCCTCGATATATGCACCCACAGGGCGCAGCAACTTCAACTTGCCATTCTCCTGAATGTCAAAGCGTGCCAGCTGGGCAGGCTGATTGAAGTGGGTTTGTGGAAGCACCCTGGGCAGGAATGCCACATTTGCCCAATGGGCAACACCTGAGAGTCCCACCTCGGGCATGTATCGCTTACATGCAACTCCCCGACTCGCTTCAATGAGGCTATGGCAAGCAGAAATGCTGCCTTCATGGGCAGCCACCTAAGCCCCACCTGGGTCAGGGGCTTGAAGGGAGGAGATGATAGGGCATCCGGCAGCAGGGGCAGGTCCCAAGCCGGAGCCCTCGGGTGCTAGGGAGACGCTGCCGTAAAGCCCCTCTCAGGAAGAGGGATACCGACCTGTGGCACCCTGCCATGGCGCCGTCGACCCGAACATGTCAGGCAGAAATAGCAGCCACATAATCTCTCAGAGTGGAGTGAGAACGTCCACTATCTAGAAGGGACTGCTGTCTGGGCCACAGTGTACATGCTGTCCCAAGGAACACGCACATGCTTGCCCCCCAGTTGGGGTAGAAAGTGCGTGAGTGCAAGCTGCACAGCCCGAAGCCCTGGCACGTTGACATGGCGTGCACCCTCCTGGGCAGACCACTGACCCTGGACAGTCCTGCCCTGCCGCACTGCACCCCACCCTGAGAGACATGCACCGACGGTGACAGTCTCCCGGCGG